GTTGTTGTTGTTGTTGTTGTTATTGCTGTTGATGAAGATGACGATGATGATAATCACGACACTAATAACGATATCTTTAACAGACATCGACGAGTGTGCTTCTAAACCATGCCAGAACAACGGTCAATGTATCGATGGAGTCAATCAATTCTCGTGTAACTGTGCTCCAGGCTATGCAGGACCAACCTGCAGCGAAGGTATAGAATATTATTCATTAGATATTGCAAGACTCTTAACTGCTAGAGTGCAAACCATATATTCATGAAATACCACAAAAACTAAATACCACTTATCACATATATTTCTTTTATTTTCTATTGTTTCATTGGTGCTATTTTGTACTTATTTGTTAGTACTATTGAAGAAATAGAAAACGCGCGCGCGTGCTGTGTGCTGTCATAAAGCACGCGGGGGTTGGCAGAACACGAGAGAAGTATTTGGAGAAGCACGACGCGTAGCGGAGTGCTTCTGGACACTTCTCGAGTGTTCTGCCAATCCCCAAGTGCTTTATGACTGCACACAGCACAGCAAGCACGTTTTTTTATTTCTTTTATAAAATACAAGTTTCAATAATAGATAGGAATGACGCAACGGAAAGTGCGCGCGCGTGCAATGTGCTCTCATAAAGCACGCGCTCCAAACCAATCAGAACGCGACATTCATAACAGTTATTTTATAATTCACACGGGTTTGCACTCTAATTGTACTCAAACAATATTACATCTACACCACAGGGAGCCCAGTTCAAAAACGAGACCGCTAGTGATTATTCATATAATCAGTCTGCTATTGTTGAGCATAATAATCAGCTAGGGTTGAATAAACCTTGACATGTATTGATGGGTTGCAAGGATTCCCAAAAGAGTCAAAAGACAAAAGCATGGCGGCCATTGTGGTGCCGGATGGATGCTAATGAGAAATCTTTTGTTAAATGGCACCAACATGGCCGCGATGACGTAACGTGCAATCGAAGAATTAGATGTTAGAAAATGGTTTTGAAGAACGCCTTAATAATTGTCTGATACTTTTTTTAAGAAAAACTTTGTCAACATAAAGTAAATGCACGTGTGTTATTAATATAGATTTTATGGAAACATTAACAAAATTTAACGCTAACTTTTCGCATAGTTGGTCGTTACAGCCTTAGTATTCATGCGTACAGACAAGAAATAGCACATTCTTTGTTTTACCGCTCAGCCAATCAGATCAATAGAAATTCAAGTGTTTTCTAGAGCCTGTGATTTCCATTGAAATGAGTAACACATTCTCGCACTCAGAGCCTGAACGTCAAGTTCGGTATTTTCTTAACTGGGCTCCCTGTCTCATATATATATAATTTGATTACCTCTATACTAATGTTCAATTTTTCTTAAGATATCAACGAGTGTGCTCCTGGACCATGTAAGAACGGAGCAACATGCACAGACCAGGTCAATGCCTATTCCTGCGCATGCGCACCTGGATATTCCGGAAGCAATTGTGATATAGGTAAATAGTCATTAGCAATTATCTTGGAGGTAGGAGTCAATAATTAGTAGTTATAAAATCCACAGGTTTATATAGGACTTCTTTGCATTTAGTAAGTCTCTCGTCTTTCCCTTCCCTCCCCTCCCCTCCCCTCCCTCAAAAAACGCTCACACTAAAAAATACCCTCTCTCCTCCCCTCCCCTCAAAAAATAACGCTCACACTAAAAAAATACCCTCTCACCCTCCCCTCCCCTCAAAAAATAACGCTCACACTAGAAAATATTCTCTCCACTCCCCTCCCCTCAAAAAAATTAACGCTCACACTAAAAAATACCCCCTCCCCTCCCCTCAAAAACATTTACGCTCACACTAAAAAATACCCTCTCCCCTCCCCTCCCCTCAAACAATAACGCTCACACTAAAAAATATCCTCTCCCCTTCCCTCCCCTCAAAAAAATTAACGCTCACACCAAAAAACACTCCCTCCCCTCCCCTCAAAAAAATTAACGCTCACACTAAAAAATACCCCTCCCCTCCCATCCCCCCTCAAAAAAGATTATATTTTCATTCAAGTGTATTTTTCATGGTATTCTTAATGATTCTCTTTTTTTTTTTTTCCAGACATCAACGAGTGTGCGTCAGACCCTTKTAAGAATGGTGCAAAATGTAAAGATCAGGTGAACGGATATTCTTGCTCATGCGAACCAGGATACACTGGCCCAGACTGCTCCATAGGTAAATTATCTTTTAACTAAAGGACACACGGTGCAACATTACTTGCGATATGATATTGCTTGCAATTTTGCTGAAGCTGGATCGTTTTCTACTTCAGCAACATTGCGTGAAACCTAGTAGGTATCAACCATTAATATGTAAATAGCTATATTACTCATCCTTAAAAATTAAGACAGTTGCTATTTTATTATATAGACATGAGTGTTTTACCGGGAAATACGCCACTCGTATTTTTCGTACAAACTACATCCGGGACCTGAGTAACATATTTCCCATATCTTCACTAGTGAGGATATCGATGACGTCACTTGCGATGTTTTCCCGCTCACTTGAGGAGCGTTGTAATAATAGTTTTTCTTTGTGGATTTGTCTATATGATATGAAGTTTATCTTCGAGTGGTGAAAAATATTTCACTCGTTCGCTGCGTTCACTCGATCGTGTGAATATTTCCACCACTCGAAGATAAACTTCATATCTTCGCGCCACCGTGTAATATCCTATATATATGTGCATGTAAAAAAATCAGAAAACAAAACAAAAACAATATTGATTTTAATGATGTTGACTCATGTATCAGACATCAACGAGTGTGAACCAACTCCTTGTAAGAACGGCGCTTCCTGCACAGACAAAGTCAATGGCTACTCATGCGCATGCGCACCGGGATACACTGGACCTGATTGTGCAATAGGTAAGTCAATGAACAGTTAGTTTGTTTGTTTAAACATTACGTCAAAAATGTATTTTGGTGCTTTATAATTTTAGATTTTGTCGCGGCAAAAAATGGAATTGCACGCGTGGAATTTTGAAAGCGTAGCAAAGAAAGAATTATATATCGCTCCACACGCAATACTTCTGCATTCACTATTTATTTACAACATACAACACTGAGCTCACGCATTGATTTTATCTTTTACAACAACCACTCCCCATACGGGGCTCTTCCGTGAGGTTCCCTCCACACGCACTATTACTACATTCTATATTTACAACATACAACACTCAACCTTCGTGTTGATTTTTATGGAGGGAGGTAAACCAGAGAACCTGGAGAAAAACCCTCGTGGCAAGGGAGAGAACAACACATCAAACAAACTCAACTCACATATTGTTTTCTTACGGAGGGAGGAAAACCAAAGAACCTGGAGAAAACCCTCGTGGCAAGGGAGAGAACAACACTTCAATCAAACTCGACTCACATGTTGATTTTTATGGAGGGAGGAAAACCAAAGAACCTGGAGAAAAACCAAGGAAGAGAACAACAACACGTCAAAACAACTTCAACTCACATACGCTTCCTTTGCGCGTTTCCTTTTCGAGTGCTGTCAATTCCAGCGAAGAGTGGAGTGAGAGACATTCGCATGGGGCATATGCCGATAGGTTAATGATAGATTAATGATTTATATTCTTGATGTGGCATATCTGCAGATATCAATGAATGTGATTCAAATCCTTGTCAGCATGGTGGAGCTTGCACGRATAAGGTCAATGGTTACTCGTGCACGTGCGTGCCAGGATGGATTGGAGACAATTGTCAGACTGGTGGGTATTATAAGAGGTGTTCAATGCTCATACTGGGTCTGTGAGCCAGCATATTCCCAGAATAGGAGCACATTACTAGGAGCATCGATCTCCCATACTGGGTCTCTGAGCCAGTATATTCCCAGATCAGGAGCCCATTACTAGAAGCACCATCTCCCATACTGGGTCTGTGAGCCAGCATATTCCCAGATAAGGAGCCCATTACTAGGAGCATCGATCTATGTAATAATATGTATTTTAATTGATGCATCAAATGAATTCTCTTTACAGATAATGATGAATGTAATCCTAACCCTTGTAAGAACAGTCTTTCCTGTGAAGACAAGGTCAATGGCTTTTCATGCAAATGCCTACCTGGTTACACTGGGAAAACCTGCGAGGAAAGTAAGTAAAGACAGTCAATCAACGGTTTACAATACAATACAATATGTTTATTTAGTGCCGTAATATAAATAAATAAAAGTACAATGTACATTTTGAATGATTCTTGTGATAAATACATATATATATAATCATTATTACATTGTACATTTAGTTTGTTCCTTATTTGAAAGCACAGGCTAATTGTAACAACCAGTACGGCTGAACTACACAATTAGCTAGTTTAACTATGTACAAAATTCAGATCAGGAGTAATAATATATAAATATATATGCAGGAAAAAAATGCGTGTGAAAATTATAATCTAAATGGAAAAAACTATATGCACACACAAAAATGGCTAATAGAGAAATAGAGAGAAAAACAAGAAAGGCACAAAAAGAGCTAGATGGAAGTTGAAAAATATCAAAAATTTATAAATATTGATGAGATATTGCCTATTGTCTAATGTAAGATTCTAAAATATTTGAAAATAATAATAATATAAATAAAAAAATTTCTTGCGAAAAAAAAGGAGTGGATAATATAAATAAAAAAATTTCTTGCGAAAAAAAAGGAGTGGATAAGATTGACTGAATCGAAGTTAAGACTCGACGATATAATAAAAGTGTTCGAGTAGTTTTCACATTAGGAACATCAAAGGTTCTTGTACGTCTTAAGTAACGATGCCGTTTAGAACGATAGCGAGAACAATAGGCCCGCGGCATGGGCAGCCGTTTACGATTTGGATTACGGCAGTGTTAATTAAATTATATTTTTCAATCTTATTGGCTTAAATTCGAAAAGCGCCAAATTCAAACTTATTTTCGTTCTTGTTCTTATACAAGTCCGGTATAGTTGCCGTAAATTGGCGAGCAGACTTGTTGAACAACGATTGATAACATAGGCGAATTTGGAATAAATTTTATGTGGGGAACATCACAAAATAGATTTCGAATGTTCCCCAAATATCATTGGTCTAAAAAAATTCGGACAATAGTTCCGATGTATCTTTGGTAAATGGAATGACAATTCGGTACTATTTCGGCGTTTTTCCGTAAAAAATACTATGACTATTTTTTTCGGCCAATCAGAGAGCTTGGATATAATTATTTAAGCCAATTATAGAAATCTTCACTGCGCATGCCTTGCCCTTGGGTGCTATCGTTCTAAACGGCATCGTTACTTAAAGTGTATCTGGTGGCTTGATGTAATGGTGGGAGTAAATAACGCTGTCTGTGGTTCTTATCATTAAGAATGTCATTTAAATGTCATTTTGTTCCTTCAGATATCAATGAGTGTGCCCCTGAACCGTGTAAGAACGGTGCCACGTGTAGCGATGGGGTCAATGATTACACCTGTACATGTGTATCAGGCTGGACGGGCAAGAACTGTGAAACTAGTAAGTCAAGAACTGAATTCATGTTATAATCCCTTTTCTTATTCCGTAAATACCGCTGTGTTTTAAAAGTGAAGACTCATTTCCGCAGGCTTAGCCTTGCTTGAGAGTAAATCATTTACAAAAGTCAATTATAATGCAAAGAATGTGCAGCTTGAACAATACCAATGTTTTGAAATCCCATGGACTTTTAATGGTATCTGTGAATAGCTGACTTATAAACGAAGCTAAGCCTGTGCAAATGGGTATGTGGTCTTCAAAGATAGCGGTATGCATTGAATGTGAAACTGGTGTATTAGAGACCTTTAGCATCAGGTTCGTTCGTTCGTTCGTTCGTAGCATCAGGTTCGTTCGTTCGTTCGTTCGTCCGTCCGTCCGTCCGTCCGTCCGTCCGTCCTTGCGTGCGTGCGTTCGTTCGATCGTTCGTTCGGTCTAAATGATTCCCTTTCTTTTCCGAACAGATATTGACGATTGTGCTTCAATGCCTTGTCAAAACGGTGGAACCTGTTGCTGTGACCAAGTAAATGACTTCACTTGTACATGTAAACCTGGATACACAGGCAAATTGTGTGAAACAGGTAAGTGTATTGTTCATCGTTAGTTTATTCATTGAATCATTATAGGACATTTGCATGATGGCATCATTTGGCTCCCACTACCAAGATGCTTCGCAAAATTTCTTTCTTATTTAAATTTGGTTTTCCTCATGAGAATAGTAAGACAATTTGTGCTAATTGAATGAACAAAAGAAAGTGTGCAAGGGAGTCTGGTAGTAGAGGTCAATGACTCCATCGTGCAAACCTCCTATTATAGACCTCTTGCRTTGAATTCTTAGAGGAATTGTTCTGGGAGACAAAATAGGCCGTCTTTTCTTATGTAAAAAAATCCATTGTTTGTCCCCCAATACAATAGGCCCAGTAGCTCAGTAATCACGTGCTGATTAATTCACTGAGAGCAAATGAATGATAATCTCGATTCCCATGGGTGAAATTTACTGGTGAGCAAACACACTTTCTACAACCTGTTTCGAGAGATTGTAATAAAACTGCATTTCGTAACATACTGGATACACATGTTTTCATTCAGTTCTTTACAAGTAGCTAAAAAGAATCACCAATTAAAAATATAAACAAAAATTTTGCTCTCCAGTACAGACACGTGACCGTTAACTGCAAAGGGCCTAATTCTCTCGGGTCTATAGACCATTCATTCATTCATTCTTTTACTAATTCACTCATTCTATGTTTCTTGACATATTTTCCTAGACATCGACGAATGTGCCTCAAACCCGTGTGAAAATGGCGCCACTTGCACTGATGGTGAAAATAGTTACACGTGCGCATGCGTAGCAGGATACCGTGGAACCAACTGCCAAATAAGTGAGTGAACAACGCAATTGTACGCGCGCATTTGTCGTCGCGACAAGTAAGATTAGATCGTGAACGTCGAAAAAATACCCTTCACGATTTCATGCGTTGACACCAGYATGATCCATTTTTTGTCGTGACAGCAACCACGCACGTATTATTGAAAAGCACTGTAGTATTGGTTAAAGGTTTTTGCAGTGAAGGGCCATTAGAATTTTAGCGTATTCTATCATAGTTGATGGAGTGGGATGGTTTGGAAACTCCATAGAACAAAGCTATTGTTTTGCATTTGATGTTGAATCCTACCATCACGTTTTACTGACGGTGCACAGTGAACCAAAGCAAGTATGGCTGAAAATACTTGTGATTTACTACTCCCCCGAGCTCAACGAAATCCAGTTTTGTACCTGTAAAGCCTGTTTTCCGTCAAGCAAATTTCGTTTACTAATCTAAGTATCTGGATTTATTAAACCGGACTTCCATCTATCTATACGATACCTGATGTCACAGGAAGCCCGCGAAAGATAAACACTTAGACTATATCTAATGATAAGTTTGTTTTCCCAGACAACGATGAATGCCTCCCAGGTATTTGTCAGAATGGAGGATCCTGTGAAGACCTTGTCAATGACTTCCGGTGCTCATGCAAACCGGGATGGACTGGAAAACAGTGTCAGAACAGTAAGTAAACCACGTGATTGGAGAGATCACGTGACAGGTTACCAAGTATATCAACCGGTGAGACAGACAAACAAACATCGTAACAGAAGAAAGAAGTACTATTTAACCACGTGATTGGCGGTCTGTGGTGTTGCGTAGAAAAGGTGGGGTGGGAGAAAGGCGAGGTTTTCCCGCTCTCTACTGTACAACACCGCAGACCGCAGTGCAACGCAGGCTATCATGACGTAAGCAAGTAATCACATGACTAGATAGTAGACTATAAATGTTACCAATGGCAGCATCAGTAGGACAGACAGAGAGACAGACAGAGAGACAGACAGAAGCTTAAACAAACGCAGTTTTGACTCGTATTTTTTTGGCTTGAACCAGACATCGATGAGTGTTCATCGCTTCCATGTAACAATGGCGGCTCATGCACCGATGGTGAGAATGGTTACACATGCTCGTGTAAGGCAGGATGGACTGGAGCTAACTGTGAAGCAGGTACGTGGGGGGTGGGGGTGGGGTTTCAGATTTCTAGGGTAGGGTGGGGATAGTTGTGTAACAAACCTTACGTACATCCGTGGAGCAATTTTTATATTGTGAGGGGTGGGGTGAGGCAAGTTTTGTACCAAATGAGGAAGTTGTGTAACAAACCTAACGTACATCCATGGAACAATTTTTATATTGTTAGGGGTGG